TCATGACGTCATAATAACATAATTTAAATCCTGCCATTTCATGAGCCATGCGGCGATCAGGGCCGAGAGATATATAATGGTCGAGTCGTTTATATCTGGCGTTCATGAGTGCGATTTTCAGATAAAACGACCGTCCATTGGCTCTCAATCAATGTTGTGTAAGGCACGAAAACGTAATCAAACAATGCCGTATCGAGGAAAATATTTACTAAACAAGGAAATTGGGTTGTCCAGAGAACTCTTTTCAACTTAAAAGTATAGCAAAAGTTATAAGCAGACTAGTTTTATCATATCTGATGCTTGCCTCAATATCTTAGAATGTAAAGATACATCCCCGTTAGAGCCTCGACCGCGTTTTCCATCCGATCTATACACTGACAGGAATGGAAGCACTATAGTTTGTTCAATCCTAATTATATAAGCCTCGGTCGAGCAATCCAGCCGGAAACGACTTTGCACCTTTGGCGGAACCTCTAAGTGTGGACATTCTTAATGACGTTGCGCTCAGAATGCTATATACAGCAATCATTTGCGCCTTTCACTTAGTGCGTAATACCTTTGAAAATGTCTTAGGTGATGTGGAAAAGTTGGCATGACGTGGTCTTGGCATAATCGATCGGTACGTCACCATTTAAAGATGCCAGTCTTTTTGTGTTACGATAGCACGGTGCCGTGTAGTAATGCTCGGCGTATTAAAGTAATGTCAGCACGGTGCCGTGAAGTGTTGTAAATTTATTTCTCAGCTTATCCTTGTATTATTTAATTTTATGTCACTGAATTGTCTGGTGGCTGACGGCTGAGCATGTCACGGACCCGTCAAAACCCGTCGTGGGTCAAGCAAAGATAATTTTTGTAAATATGGGCTCCTGGCGGCCAGCACGTCACCCTCGCCGGCGGGATAACATGAGCCGGCAGGGAAAGGGGTATGCGAGGCTTATCGACGGGGTCCGGCTAGAGCTGTAAAGAGTACCATTCAAATGCCGAAAGCCTTGTTTCAGCGTGGCTGGAAGTGTCACTCCCGCTGTACGATCTGTGGTTGGAACGGTATAAGCAGGTGCGCAGTATCGCAACATGAGTTGGTGGGCTGAGCACTGCAAAGTGATGCAACGTACCCTCAAAATACACCAAGAAACGCGTTTCTTCCCGGATTTGGCCCGCATTCTTTTCAAAGCCGTGTGGGCCGGAGCCCCAGCTGGCGGGCCTGGGGTCATAGCCCAAACTGAGAAGGAAGCTGCGCCACTGGACCTGTCAAAGGCATGGCGGGCCAGCGTGGCCGGGGCGGATCACGGAGTCTAAAACTGTCCGGTTAGTTTACGTTAAGACTCGTTAGGCCTGCGGTCTCGCTCGTAACAAGACGATATGGTGCATGCCGTGCCAAGGACGCGTTACAGAGCGCCGCCCATCCGCATCTTCGTTGCGCATATCTTTGGAAACCTGGTCACCTTTCGTGGAAAAATTGAAGCTCTGGACACATATTTCAATAACTTGATGCCTAATTAGCTAAAACTCTTAGTGATCCGCTCAGCAACTTATATACTCCCTTAAATGTTATCGTGACAATGCTATTTATTGGCAACGTAGAAACGTCGAATTAAAACTTGCTGTAACCACCCATTGCTTTGGATAGATACGTACTGTCATACTGGTGGAAGCATGGCAGGCCAAGCAAGAAAGTGCATTACGACGATCTTTTCAAATATGTGTTATGTCTAAGTGTCTGCATGATTTGCACCGCTAAATTAATACGCAAATGGCTTTGTGAACCCAGCTGCATGTACACAAAGTCCAGCCGTCTACAGGTGAAAGACAGTGACTTTATCCGAAAAATGCGACGCAAAAGTCGCTTTTCCTCTCACCTTTTCTCTCATCCTTCTTTCCTTCCCCTCCCTTATCTCTGTCTTCCTTACTCTCTCACTCTCCCTCCTCTCTCTCTCTCTCTTACTCTCTCTCTCCTCTCTCTCTCTCTCTCTCTCTCTCTCTCTCCTCTCTCTCTCTCTCTCTCTCTCTCTCTCTCTCTCTCTCTCTCTCTCTCTCCCTCTCTCTCTCTCTCTTTCCTTGTCAGCTCCTACATGTCAATAAAACGGATATATAGCCCAGCGTTTATCCCTACACACACGATATAAAATTGCAAGCATGTGACTGACAAACAGACAGCAATATTTCAGAGCTATTCCAGATGTCTGCGGGCTGTTGACAGTCTGCGATATCAGCCTTTTAAAAATAAGCTTTTGCAGGCTGCCTGTCTTTGGTGCATACAGACCCAGTGAGTAACAAAGGACCGAAGTCTTATGAACGGTTGGTCGTTTTCACGTCTGACACCCCGATGTTGCGGCTGCGGCTAAGTTTGGCGAACACTGCTAGCTCCGTCAGCAGATGGACCGAGATGGTCCCTATGTGGCATCAGTGCAGTTCGTCAAGCTCGAATCAGATCGTCTCGGCGTGCGGGTGTAGGCTCAAAAGAAATCGGGCTACAGTCATGTGATGATGCACAAAACATTTCATCAGTCAGCGCTGCTGCAACCACTGCACTCTAACTGTATCACAGCCACTTAAATCCTGCTTATGTGTCCGTTCTATTTCCTGACAGATTAAGTCGTTCGGTTCCTGGTGTCCAACATTTTGTTTGGCTGGTAAATCAATCGCACTTTTGAGCTTCTGTGCGGGCTGTCTGCTGTACATCGTCCTCCACTCAAAAACAACTAAAAAGACGAGCAAACGAACAAACTTCTCTTATCGTGTCACCTCAACTCACTCTCCAAAATACCTAAGCTGAAAAAACACGCAGCCTTCCGCTCACAAAACCACCTCCGACAGCGCATTCTGCGCACGTTCCTGCAGTCCGGCAGAGCGCTCTCTGGATGCGGCGTCGTCTCCGCCGCGCCACGCACGTCGGCGCCCCATTTCAAAGGCTTCCGGTTGACGGGTCTACGCTCTGTGCCACTAACGGGCTGGGTCCGCGCCCGGCCGCTGGTAAACATGTTTGTATCATACGCCACCTGTCGGAAATCGTAACTGAAATTGTCTCAAATGCCGTCGAGCGGCGGCGGCGCCGGCTCGTCTCCAGCCGGTGCGGTGAGGGCGGCCTCTGGTGGGCTGTGGCCTGCTCTTAGTTCAATGGATGAGCGACGGTGACAGGCGGTGTCCAATCCGGCCGATGGGTGCGCAGGCCGCCGGCACCGGCAGCTAGCAGCGGCGCTGAGCGAGTCTTTGTCGTCTCCCACGGGAGATACTTGCTCGTCCCCGGAAGAGCTGCTGTTGTGACAGACGCCAGGCTGTCTTGCATCATTTCTGCTGTAGGAGTGTTTTGACTTATTTTGTCGGCGGAAAGCGTGCAAAAGGGACGATAATGGAATGCCCTTCGTGTGACACGTGTTAAGAAGTCAGTTTTATGTGGCCAAAGCGTTAATGCCAAAATGAATTGCTCGTTCTGGTCAAGTATGGGTCATGCGTTGCATGGACCAGTTGGCAGGGGCTTCCAGAGATGGGAGCCGAAATTGCTGCCTGCCCACTCATCGTGGGCACCACCTAACGTCCAACACTAACAGTGCAAATTGTGAGATAGAGATCGGAAAGCTTATCGTCAGGTCGTGGTGCTGGTTGCAGTATGGACCGACATTTGTTAATGCTCCGTCGAAGTGGCTTTTCATTACTTCAGGACAGAGTTAGCGCACACTGCCCATTTCAAGCTCGCCTCTCTTTTTAAAGGGAATGCTCCACAGTTGTATGTGAATTTGAACTGAAATGACCATCTTATAGATCATTCGGTGCACTTCACAGACTTGTCCTTTTTAGGATACAAACCACTCTTGTTTCGAAGCTACATGCCCACGAAGATCTGCGGACTATTTCGGGGAGACTATTTCAAGGCCATCTAAGCATCCATAACACCATAATAACGTCATTCGAAGCCTGTCTTCCTATTAGCCATGCGACGATCAAGGTCCAATACAAACAAATTTGTCGAGTCGTCCATATTTGGCGTTCGTGAGCACGATTTCCAATTATAACGATTTTTAATTAGCTCTCAAACAATGTTGTGCAAGGTATGATGACGTTCTCAAACAATGAGGTATTCAGGAACATATCTATTAAATAGAGGAATTATGTTGTCTGGAACAGTCTTTTCCAGACAAAATAAGCTGAAGCAGACTTCATTCCTTCCACCTAAAATAGTCTTTGGACATGGCCAGCACCACGATTTTTCCACAGTTAAAGGGCCAGATTGTTGCATAATTTTAATACACTTCTGGTACCGTGCCAGATGTGTTACATTCCATCATCTTTAAGTCTGATGCAGTTACCCGAACATGCAGCTAAACAAAACTCAGCTTGACATGGCTCGTAAGGATGCATTCGGAAACCCGGACGACGGCTTTATACTGAACTGCCTTGATGAACTTTTAAGCCGGTGATCGTGTTTAGATAGCGGGTTTGCCGTCTCTCGACGTGAGCCCCGTTCGGTGCCTTCTTGCCTCAGTGATATGGTGCTGGCCAGCCCTGAATCGTCGGTAAGGTCCTCTTAAGCAATTCGGACGCCTTTGTTCAGCAGCGTTAAGTTGTCCGGCACTGCTCAATGAAACAGGGGATGAGGTGCTATCTTCGTTAACATCAGGTGCACATTTGCCGCGCAGGGAACGTCACACGAGGACCCACCCCACAAACAGCCTGTCACCCCGCTCCTCGGCCTCCCGTTCCGTCCTCTGCTCTCCGCCCTGTATCAGCCCATGACAGTTCCTGTCGATGGAAGTCACTGTCAGCGTGACGGTGATCGCGCCAAGTCCTGAGCTTCGCGCGTCCTGCGCATACGCCGACAGTCGAAGACGCGGCCCGTCCTCGCCTCCGTCCCCGCTCACCTTGACTGCCATCTGCGCCGGGGGCGCGCCGGTCGAGGCGTCGCCAGCTGCTCAGGACTGAGGGTGGGGGGGGGGGGGGGGGGCGCCGGCGTCGGCCCGGCCTGGCCTCAGAGCAGCTTGGTCTGGCGGGCGGGGAGCGCACGCCGCCAGTCGGTGGCGCGGGTTAGTGGAGACGGGAGCCGGCCGGCCGCGGTCAGACGTCGCCCGGCGCGACCTCTCTGGCGGTGCCGCCTCCGCCTCGGCCAGCGTGTGCAGTGTCTTCCGCGGCACAGCCGGTGAGAGGCGGGCGGCGGCGACGACTGCGTCAGGCGAGACGCCACCTCGAATCGGCTTGAAGGCTGAGCGCCTTCTCGTCGTGTAAATTCCAGCGTCGAACATTTGCCGGCGAGGTGGGAAATCACGGCGCCTTGCGCGAGCACCCGCGGGACAATCAACAGGTGCGGCGGAAGTCGCGCTGGGCGGAGCTTTCGCAAAGAGGATGGAGCTCCGACCTTGTCCCGCGGCCAATCTGGGCCTGTTGCGTCTTTAGCCGGCCAGGCAGAGCGTGGAGCGCCACCTCGACGGGAGCCCGGCCGCCGAGCCGCAGACAGTCCCGCACGTCCGAGCCACGGCGGGCCCGGCTCACTCGCCGGCCGGCTCCGGCTCCGGCTCCGGCTCCAGTGGCGACTCCGGCATGGACGGCTGGTGCTGCTCGCTGGTGTCGGCCGCCTGTCGGCTGCTGGCGTTCGTGCTAGACTCGCCTCGCGACCGCAAGCGGCGGCGAGACGCAGCCGACCCGCCACAGGAGCGACCTGACCCGCACGTGAGAGCTCTCGCCGTCCGCAGGTGGCGCCGGCCGCGCTCGCCCGCGCTCGCTCGCTGGGGACGTGTGGGTGTCTGGTGGAATCCGTCTCCCTGCCGTCAACGGGTCCTGACGCGTCGCTGGGCGGTGTGCAGAGCTCCCCTTCAGCTCGCGGTGGTGTGGCGCAGACGTGTGTTGCAGGCAGCTGTATCTATAGGCTGATGCTATTTTGCTGCCGAATGAAGTACCATATCGTTGGCAAACTATGAGCGACAGCGAGTTAGAGAGGGTCTTTGTGTCTGCAAACTTTTGGAAGCTCATTAGTTGCGGCGTCCTGCCCACTAACGCAGTAGTCTCAAACTGGCGATTAAAACAAAGTTAGACCAAACATCGGCTTCCAGTTTCGGTAAACAAATCTGTAGCTCCAGGAATTATCGAATGATTAAGCGCTTATACGTGGAGGCTAAACTGGAGAACCAAACTGCACCTCAATCCTCAAGCCAAAAATATCCCTCTTAAAGGCATTCAGAGCACGAATGCATTTATAACTTATGCATCGACATAAACGTAGACTACCACGTTCACCGATAGAATTGTGAATATTACAGTCCGCGTTGTATTACTGTGAATGATAGGCAAAGTGTTCGGGACGCAACTGAAGCACACCACAGTCGGGAACTCGCATTGGTTGGAAACCGCGCATTGGGATAATGACGAACAACCAGATGGCCGCATCTGTTTCTGATGACTCAAAATTCAGTCGAATCATTGGCACGCTAACAACACCCTCACAAAATGCTCATGGATGCTATTTATCATGCTCAATTCAGTGAATGTGAGTAACCCGAATGATAGCAGTTTGAATAGCTCTAAGCGCGGTGAGCGGCGGAGACGACCAGGTGTTGTACCCTGCATCCTCAAGTCGGCGGTCATCTGCTTACCCACGTCAACACATCACCTTCATCATCAGCGCTACCTTCCCGCAGCAGACGACGCTAGTGGTCTGCACACTACGTGATGGAAGACGTGGGACGCGCCGTGAAAGAGCTCCTTAAAATATGATAACCCCGCACCAACGACCAGGGTGCTGCCCTGACCCGTGGTCAACTGCGGCGCCATGCTCCGTCTGGACTTCCACTCCCCACGCTAGACGCCATGGTTCTCCACATGGCTCTCGGAGCCCACACGCGCTAATGGGTCTATGTCAATGCCCTCGCCCGAATCCCATCGAACGGTGGGGCGTGCTGGTTCGTTGAAATCATTGCGCTCTGCAGACGCCTGTGTGGTCGAAAACCGTGCCGTGACTTCGCAGCGGCGTGCCGTGAAGTGAAATATTTGGTTCTGCCGGCTACCAACGAGCGATCTGTTCTCCTACACGCCTTGGTCTGCCCTGGATGTATAAGTCAAGATTCGAGAATTTTTACGACTTATCATGACAACTGCATCTATTCGTTGTCTGGGAAGCGTCATTGCGGCCAAAACATAATTTGTCTCAGTGGAGAATGTTCTGGTGGAGAGTGTACTAGCGGGGGGTGTTCTGGTAGGAGAGTACTCTGGTGGAGGGTGTTCTGGTGGAGGGCGCTCTGGCGGAGGGTGTTCTGGTGGAGAGCGCTCTGGCGGAGGGCGTTCTGGTGTAGAGTGTTCTGGTGAATGTTGCGGGAACTTGCGCGCGACTGATCGGCTACTTAGGGCGTTGGTCGTATGGTGGTTAGGGCGCTAATAAACCATGGCGCTCGGCTCTGGACGCGTTAATTTCGGGTCCCGATGCCTGCCACACCACTACTGCATCCCACATCACACCTAGTGAAAGCATCCGCCCCTAAATGGCCCGGGCAGTTAGTGAGATGTAAAGTCCCAGTACAAAAGTCGGCTTCTAATGTCAAGGCCGGTGTAGAGTAATATACAGGCTTGCACGAAGCGGCGTGTAGTCAGGTCACAAAATCTGGTTCCGCAATGTTTGAAGAAAGCGCGACGGTGAAAGGCATTGTCTGCCTTCCCCCCGCACCCCATCAACAGATACAAATTTGGAACAAACAGCAAATATCCACACCCCTGAAAGGCAGCCTTAACCCTAGATACCCTAGATAATCCAGAACAGTGGCAACATTGCCACGATAGCGCTTCATCTCCCACTGCAACGCTTCGGGCTAAAACACTGTCCTAATGGAGTACGACTATGGCATGTTTGCCTAACATAGGTTACGTGCCAGGGCTAAAAAAGAACTGGCGGGAAGAGAGACCAGAGACGCCAAATGAATCAGCACAGCATGCCGTAGCATTCCACGCACCTGTAAACCCAATCTGTTGAAGAGTCACCACAGCCAGAGTCGACTCGGCGGCGTTGGTAGACGAGCTCAGCTCCCACACAGGTGGGGATCTGACTGAGAATCAAACAGGCATCTTTGGCGGAGTCAGCACCAGGTCGTGGAAAGCTGCACTTTGAAGCCAGCGCAGTTAAGCACCCGTAGCAAAGTGTAATCTATCAGGAGGCGTTGGAATTGGGTCTCCAAGTGGGAGAAGTTTGAACTTGGATCTGCCGTCACACATCTATGTGGTTAGTAAATGGCGCCCAGAATAAACTGCCCATAACTCTCGGGTTTTATCAGTGTCCATATCGATTCCATCTGGGTGCTGGATCTGTACAGAGCCAGGTCGCCTGCGCTCGTATAGATGAGCAAATGCTTTGAGACTTTCCTCCTGGGCGATGCTATGAGCATATTAGGCTTCTCGCTAGGCGCTCACAGCTCACGGCAAGCTGCCCGTTTTAAAGGCTTCCCGGTAATCTGGGCAACAGTTCAATTCTAGAATTTCTTGCATTGGCATGCCACCAATCAGATAGCCTAATGTACATGCAAAATAGGCAGTCATCGCGCTCAGTAATGGGGTTTCCCAGCTGCCATCTCTGTGCCATGAGTAAATGGCAAACAGGCTCTCATTTAAATCGCTCCCAGTGGCTTATATGGTGAAACGGTTGGTTTGTCGTGCGCCGGCCACCTGTATATTAAGAAACGCTTCCCGTCTATCGGAATGGTAGCCCGTGTCTTCCGTGTCTTGCACCGTTCTGTTATCGGTCAAGCGACGTAAGGTACAAATGCAGCCTGCGTGCGATGCCCTGACTGTTATTGCGGTGGCGCCGGTAAGGCTGATGGCTTTCCATATCAACTCCTTGCAAGGCGCTTACATCGGACGGTAGTTGGGTGTGTTGGATAGGTGTCTCTAGTCGTGATAACTTTAAGTTTTGTGATGGATGACTGGCATCAGCACCATCACTAATAATTGTTGAGCTTCCGGATGTATCCCTGTCACTTTTCCAAGTGCCGGAAGTTAGTAATACATGTATTTGCAATGCATGGGTCCGGTACCACGGCCTCTGCACTAGTCATAACTAGCGCAGAGACCCTGTGGCACGCGTGGATAACTATGTACACACTTGGTGCCGAAACTATTTGTCGCCCGAGGCTACACGACCTTGTGAAGCATGGCATTAATTACGATGTTTGTTTGAACAACTACAGTTGGACCCACTGTACCTACTCTGCACACGTTCGTGTGCGTGCGAGTGCTTCACTCCACAGCACGGGACTGTTCTCACCCCACTGCACGGGACTGTTCTCACCCCACTGCACGGGACTGTTCTCACCCCACTGCACGGGACTGTTCTCACCCCACTGTGCTGAACTGTCCTCACCCCACTGCACGGGACTGTTCTCACCCCACTGCACGGGACTGTCCTCACCCCACTGCACGGGACTGTGCTCATCTCACTGCACTGGACTGTCGTCGGCAAGAATGCGATTCGATCCTGCTAATCTCAGGTGCCTGTGTAATTCATGCTCTGAATAACTGCTTGAAAACGGCCCAGGTGGCCCGTGATAGTAGAATTAGCCCAGCGGGCGCTCGCTTGGTGGGACGCCAAGGTAAATATTTGGAAAAATCTTTATTTTTGGATCAGAGTAAGTCCGCGTGACTCACCACAACTGACGGCGAACGAAGCTGGCGCGACTCACTCTAACTAAGTCAGTCAGCTTGGTCACGACTTCGGCTAACGATGGGCGTGTTATCGAGATATGCGAAACTGCACCATTGACATATGATGCTGGCTGCTAGTGTTGGCTATGCTTGAGATCTTTTGCAGCTGGACTTTGCTCCAACAATGCAACGCTGGAAAAATGCAGAAAATGAGCAAGGTTCGCTGATGACTACGATACAAACATCATAAACCTTTAGGAGTATTTATTCAACCGATGACTCCCAGATCCATTAAAAGTGCGTGTCACATGCATCGTTTCCTTAACCACCGTTGTTCCGTCAGAACAAGGGTGCACCCACTGTGCACCCACCATGGCAGTGGCGTCCGTTTGCTGTTTCCAGCCTTCAGCCTTTTTCTTGCATTCGGCACTTCTTCTAGGGTTACATCCGCTGCAGCCGGAGCGGGTGTAATCCTGACGCGTGCTGGCACGTGACAGAGCGTGTGGCACGTGACAGAGATACCGTTTCACGCGGAAGCTGCAGCTGACTGGCAGAACTCCGTCACGTGACGCTCACTGATGACTGTCAGAACTCGGTCATGTGACGCACACTGACCTCTGTGGTCGGGGATTTTGCCACTTCCTGTCATGTAGTGAGTAAAACAACCGTCACAGCTCCATGTTGATGTGCTGTCTATTTCCCATGTCAGTCAGCTTCCAGGCCCGGTGTCTGGAATGTACTGAAGTATAGCCGACTCGAGCTTGAAATCGCAATGCGCAATGCATTGGTGCCAGTAGCTTGACTGTAGGTCGAGTCGATTGTTACTCACCGGTTTGTATTCGGTAATGGACTAGTTCTTGTCAGCGCGCTTTGTCTGATCACTTTCGACAACGCATGAAACCGACTTACGTAGTTGTGCTTGCACTTGCCATGTGTGTGACATCGACGTATGTATTCATGCATTCCTAATACAAATATATTATTTCTTCACTTGCCTGATTTTCCACTAAACGCGGCGCTGATACATATTGATGGGCAATCATATAAGTTTT